CACACACACAAGAGCAAACAGCATACCATGGCAACACAATGCCAATAAACCAAACTCTAAGCAGTCTTACATTTACATTATAGCAACACTTACATTATAGAGAATTGTTTATCTTCAATACCATGTGAAGAGCTATAAGATGCTTGCCAACTATAAGAGGTTTCCAAAATACATAGCAAATATTTAAATTTTTAGAATTTATTACCAGTAAGAAATTTATTGTCATTAATCTCCGTAAGAAACTCCCCCTTGTTTTAAACACACTTATGGCATTATTCTTATTACCTTCTGAAGCAGTTCTGAAAATCCTTTTTCATGAATGCCCTCACAGAGTGTGACCAAAGCTATGGTGAATGCTCTTGCTGTGAGCCATCCAGTGGGAGCATAAGCTTATGAAAACATTACAGTGTGCCCTCATCTGCTTTATTCCCTGGATCCAGCCCTGGGTAACTTCAGGCTCTTCCATAAAGTCAAAATGACGATCAAAGGTAAATGTTTTGAATCTTGAAGAAATCGAGGCAGCTACCACAGCACAACTAAGGACACAAAATTTTAAAATTTTAAACATTCACCATATTTTTCAATCATGCCTCGTACATGCTTTGCATGTGTATTAAAAAAAAGGTCAAATCTTTTTTTTGAGCATTGGGATCGATCCCATGGCCTTTGTACTGAACAACATTGCTAGTCCTTTTTTATTTTGAGACAAATTCTCTTTAAGTTGCCCAAGTGGGATTTAAACTTGCTTCAACCTCCCAAATGCTAGAATTAGGTGTGTGCTGTCACCTGGCTGACAAGTTTTGATGTTCCATTCAAATGGAAATTTATAAGTAGAATCAAAGTTACTTACTTACTTTTCTTTTTTTGAGACAGAGTCTTGCTATTCAGGCTGGTCTTGAACTCACTATATAGCCCAGGCTGGCCTTGAACTCATACTGCCAGGACCCTCTCACCATGATGCTCCTGCCTCAGCTACCTGAGTGCTAGGATTACAGGTGTGCACCACCACACTTGACAGTTTTTGATATTCTATATTAATTGATTCAGCATCCATTTATTAATCTTCATTCTTCACATTATGTTCCTTAGGAGTCCCAACAAACATGCTTTGCATAGTTACTAAACAGTTTTCCCAGTGGCAGAACTGGTAAATGTAGGGCAATCTAAAGTCTTACACTGAGTTTCAGGTGTCTGCAGTGATCCATATTTCTTCTGCCCTCTCTGGCATATTTTAGCCCTGCCCAGCATTTTCTTTTGCCCAGACTGCTGCAGCTTCCTCTTCACTGATCCCCTTGTTTTTTCCATCTCTGCATTTGCTTACTTCTCAACGACACCAGATGATAGGTCTAAAGGGTACCTGATCCTGTTACTCCACTGCCTATGTCAGCACATCTCAGTGGCTTGAAAATAAATTGGAAATTACTTAACAGGCATATCTATAATTTTGTGTCTTTCCAGCCATTTTTTTTTCTTCTAATTCTTTGATCAAGCAGTTAGTGTCCCTCCATTCATTTGAAATTTGGATTGCCTGGACTCTGTCCCACCTCTTTATGCCACAATATAACCACTAGTCATTCTTCAACTGTTACCTGCCCTCAAGACTGAGTTAGGTCTCCTCTTAATGTATTCTGATGCCTTGTGTCAGTGTACTCTTATGCCATCCAGTACGTCCCAGCCATAGGACGCCTCATAATTGTCTGGTGATTTATTTATTTCTTTAATAAAACTAAAATTTCTATGAACGTAGGCATGATCCTGTATTTTATGACCCTAGAAATGCTTGCATCATAGTAAATCATGTAAGTTTTCTATGCTGTATAACAAATTACCACAAATTTAGTAGACAAAAACAACACACTCATTGATTATCTTCAGACTTTCTGTGGTTCTGAGCGGGGACCTCTGCAAGGGTGCACTTAGGTTATTGGCCAGGTCTTAGTTCTCACCTAGAGAGTTGTCTGGGTCCAAGCTGGCACAAGTTGGTAACAGAATTCATTTCCTGAAAGGGCTCTAGATTCTAGTTTACTGTTACCTGGAAGTCATCCTCAGGTCCCTGAGGCTTTGAGGTGTTTGCTTGATGGACCAGCTAATCTGGCCACGGGGTGCTTCAAAAAGGGAGGAAAATTACAGTGGTGAACCTTTTAGAGCTTTCAACAATAACAGACAGTCCACCACTGTACACCTGGCCTTGGTTTGCCACCACTGCTCTGGAGTGAGTCTGCTAGCAAGACAAAATTTTATATACTATAAAGTACACTGGAAAAGGAAGTGACATCCTTTCACATTTTCCATACTGCATTGGTTGTAGGGAAGTTCCATATCCCTCACAAAAAGTGCTCAGAAACTTGTAATGAGTGGCTGAAACAAATCAGAGATTATCTTTACTCTGATTCTATAAACAATTATAGTAAATATTATTTTTTATACAGTCACTGTCTTCCTTGTGAACATAAAATCTAATCAGAAATATGGAACTTCTATAACAAAATACTAATAATTATATGACTTTATAATTTTATAACTTTACATCATAGATTAATTTTTATTTAACATCTGTGATTTCTGATATATTCAGGCTGGGTATATAGCTCAGTGGTAGAGTTTTTGCCCTGCATGCACAAGGCCCTGAGTTTGATCATACAAACACGCACATACACACACACATTCCAATATGTATAGCTCTGTATTGATCATGTGAAAACTAATGTAATATTCTTATCTAATTTATACATTTTATTTTGAGGTGGTCTTTCATAAGATATGTTTTAGAAAGCTATTAAAATGAAGAAACTGGGGGCTGGGGATTTAGCTCAGCGGCAAAAGCGCCTGCCTGGCAAGCGCAAGGTCGTGAGTTCGGTTCCCGGTACAGGAGAAAAACCAAAAAAAAAAAAAAACAAAAAAACAAAAAAACAAAAATAAAATGAAGAAACTAAGAAGGCGTTCTTCAGATCTAATGTGACCTCTAAAACTGAATCAATCTCCTATTCTATACTCCCATGGCAACCATGCTATGACTGAAATAGTTGTATGGAAGTTTTTATAGAAGACGTTTATATCTATATTCTTAAGATATTTATAGCAGCACTTCTCTGTATCCAAGAATTTGAAGGGATTTACAAGAAAAAAAAAATATATATATATATTATAAAATGGAGGGAAAAGTAAATGTTGATGGTCAAGCCTAATCTAATTACTGTAACAGCTAATTAAATTTCTCTGTGGAGGTTAGTTGACTGATGAAACTCAAATATGTTTAGAGAATAAATTACATTTCTCTTGACTAAGCTGACCATATACTTTCATCCCAAGTATCCCTTGCTTTTGAAAGGGCAAGAGAGCAGTGCTGATATTTAGGCCAAGCAGGTATAAACCTTGAGGCTGCCTCAAGGCTCAGAGTTCAAATTATCAAGGCTCAGAGTTCAAATCATCTGTTAGACGAAAGAACAATTCCGGGCAGTTTGCCATGGGCTTCTGTTACAGAGATCCATCGTACTTTCTCTTTTATTTTCCCTTTCTTTCTTAACTTGGCATTAAAATCCAGATGCAAAAAAAGGTAGGACTGTGAAGATGGGACGTGTTTCAGCAAAATGCTTAGAAGATACTTCCTGGGAACTTACTAGATTCTTAGGGTAGGACCCTTAACCCTGAGGTTCTACGAGTGGACCTCAGCCTGCTTTCTGCCTTCACTTTCTGATGGTGAGGTGATAGCAGAGGACTTCCAGGTGCATGGAGGCACGGGGATTCCAAGTGCAAGGAGCCCTTCCTGCCAGAACAAGATTATTCTATTCACAACAGTTGTTTCAGGATCGCTGGACTGGGTGTGTGTGTGTGTGTGTGTGTGTGTGTGTGTAAAGCCAGGAACACAAATGTATGCATATATAATGTAAACCCAGCACACATACTTGCCATATTTATATAAACACCTGTTAAAGTAACCAAAATAAAATATAATAAGGTAGTACTACCCTCACTACATGGTATATGTTCATATTTTCCAATCTTTTCTTTTGCACTTCCAAAAGAATGCTTTGTACGCCCTTAAATCTGTGGTTCAAAAAGAAGTCTGCTTTAAACTATATTTATCAAGTATCAATTGTCAGTCAGCATATTGACAGGAATCCTTTCAAGGGTGGCTGTGTGTGCCTAATGTATGGCACATGGTGGACATTTACTCTTTGTTAAATGAATGCATTAGTGAATGACCATAGCTCAAAGTTAAATTGCATTCTTAAAGGCCTAAACCATAGGAGTATTTATTTATTTATAAGATAGTCTTGTCTCAGCCTCGCAAGTAGTGGGATTACAGGCATGTGCTACCACCTCTGGCTTTTTCATTGAACAGAAGAGCTCAAGGTTCTAGAAACCAGGTGCATGGATGGAAAGATAGACATTCTTCCTACAACCCATTCTGTTTTTATGAAGAGGAAGGCCACCCTCCTTTTAAGGTGTCTGTTCATAGCATAGGACCGTAGTTATATAACCATCAGTTGATTAACCGTCATTAGACATTTAAATTGTTTTCCAGGTTTTTGTTTTGCTGTTATTATAAGTTTTTCTTTACAATGGATAACCACTTTCCTTTTTTCCTCCTAAATATCCTAAATACCTTTGAAGAGTAGAATAACTAAGTTCAGTAGCCTGCTTAGTCTTATGGTATTGATATGTTTTGCTAGAGTCTACTCCAGAAAGGTTGGACTAGTTCGTATGCCATCAGCAGTATATGTAAATATACTTGTTACCTATAACCTGCCAGTATTTGATTTAATTTTAGGTACTATTTTATCCTTTTAATACATATCTTAAATTCTTAATTATCTGACAGCACCTAGATATCTTTTCCAAGTACATGTGTTTCTTTGTTGTATTTCCTTTTTAATAACCTTCCTATACTTATCCTTCTAACATGGGAAAAGATTCAGTGGTTTCATAGTCCCTTGGTTGGAAAGATAGGCGCCTGCTGGCTCATTTGCAAACAGTGCACGTCTGAGTTTTCAGTAAGACATTTTCTTTGGATTAGGCTTCGTTAGGTCCACGGCCAGTAATGCTTCAATAAATCTTCTGTAAAATCATACTATGTGTGAGTTATTGAAAATTATTCAATTTGCTTCCTTTATTTTTTTCTTTATTTTGTCCTTAATTTTTTCTAGGCTCGAGAATTACAAGCTCGGGTACTAAAACGTGTTCAGATGGAACAGCCGGATGCAGTTCCTGCACAAAAACATTTAGCAGCTGAAATTTGTGCAGAGATTGCAAAACATTCTGTTGCTCAGCAAGACTATGAAAAGGCGATTATGTTTTATAGAGAGGCTCTGGTTCATTGTGAAACAGATAATAAGGTCAGTACCTTTATAAAATTTTAAGCACTTTTTATTCCAGATGTCATCTAATTTCCTCACAAGTAAAATTCTTACTAGCTTATTTATAAAGATTTAAAAAGAAATGTAAGGAAAAAACAGAAATAATACTTTTTCTAGAAAACTTTTAAAATGCATGATGCCTAAAATTAAAAGTTTTAGAGTCTACATTTTAGTAATCACTTTAAAAGTTTCTCAGCCACAAGAAAATATTTGGATCTAAGTGATTCAGTTCAGTCTATTGAACAGCTATTGTACACTTCTGGATTGTAATTGTTGTTTGTGCTGAGGATGTGAAAGTGACTAGAGGGAGTTTATGACCTCAAGTGGTGTAGTGTGAGAACTGACATAAATAACCTTTCCTAAAGCATAACCAGACCCATGCTTTTTCAGTAGAGGATAAGGAAGTGGAAATTGTACTTCTAACTGTGAAACTGTTTTTATTTTACAAATGACAAAGCAGGTTTAAAAAGTTAAAAGGTCTTAACTGGCCTGTCATGGAAAAGCTGGGAGTAGAATCCAATCTCCTGATTAAAGAGCATTGTTTTTTCACAGTAACTTTGAAGTGAGTTACCACCTACTTTGCTGGTTTTTTCTTTCAGTAGCAGAATGATAGAAAAGAGTAGCCTACAGTTGTCCTACTTGATATTTTTATTGCAGTAACTTTTGACCAACCAAAGATTAATCATATCCACATGTCTCCTTCATTCACTTTTTACTCCAAAACTGGTCTCTAACTGTTCTTCTTTTTGCTCACTAGATAATGTTGGAACTGGCACGATTATACCTGGCCCAAGGTGACCCAGATGCCTGCCTGCGGCACTGTATGATGCTTCTGCAGAGTGACCAGGATAACGAGGCTGCTACCATGGTCAGTCTGAGAATCTTTCTGGCTGTAAAGGGAATTACATTTTATATTCCAGGCTGAAGTTTCAAATTTTACCCTGTAAATCTAATAATAGATGGCAGGGCCCAGCTCATGTCGGCTTTTAGAAAAATAGCACATTTCATAAATTAGTGTATTTTACAAATGAAGACCAAGAGTTATTAGCATTGTATTAGTGACAACTAATGTATGTCGTACTTGTACTTGCCCCTTGAGTCTAGTTAATATTTTTATGCCTTAGGGAATGCCTTATTCAGGTGGAGTTCATTTGCTAAACCTTCAATTTGCTGAAGGCTAGCTTTTAGGTACTTACGTAGACATGCTGGACTAATTTAAGAATTTTAGTCAAACCTTAGAAGTTACAAGGAAAAAAACTTTATGTATCATTCTAAGATGGTTTGTGTTAGAGTTTTGTTTTTCTTTTATCTAAGCTGAAATATTTGTCAGCAAACAGCTACATGTGAGATTCATTCAAACTTATAAATGGATAAAAATATGATTTTGTTTGTTTGTTTGTTTTTGGTACTGGGAATTGAACTCATTTAAACTTAAAATGGATAAAAAAATGATATTGTTTGTTTGTTTGTTTTTGGTACTGGGAATCGAACTCAGGACCTTGCACTTGCCAGGCAGGCGGCTGTGCCCACTGAGCTATATCCCTGGCCCAGATGTGGTATTTTTATACAGTGGAATGTTACTCAGCTATAAAGAAAGATAAACTCGAGGCTTTCATAGGTAAATGGATGCAATTAGAGACCATACTCATAAGTGCAATAAATCAGACCCGCACTGGTAGACATCCTATTATCTCCCTAGTATAAGAAACTGAAAGTGTTAATAAAATCTGAAAGGTACAGTAGATATTGTGAAAGGGAAAGAAAGTGCTCAAAAGGAAAGAACAATTGGGATGGGGAACAGAGAAAAGAAGAAAGTGGAAAAAATATATATATGTACACACACACACACACAAGATAGCTAAGACAATTCTACGACTAATTTCTAATGGTCTATTGAAAGGAACAGTTAATGTTTAATTGTTTGATCAGTCTTACATGCCAATATCTGGTAATATGAGCAACTGCTTCAAAGATAACAATATGTAGTACTACAACCATTGTTAATTTCCTATCTTTTTTTGGAATTCTGTATTGTTTTTAGAGTTTGTATTTTTTGTTTTTGTTATTTTGGTTTTGTTCTTTTCTCTTTAAAATAAAAAAATAGAAAGAATTATGTTATCCCCCTTTTAAAATCACATAATTAGAAAATCTGAATAGGTCTTGCTTGTTTTACATTTCTTTGAAATAATCAGTTAAATTTTGGTGGTTGGTTGGTTTGTTTTGTATTTGGTTTTTCTCACTGTCATTTTAGCCATATCCACACATGCTGTGTTCACTCCCCTTCAAATTTCTGTTTTTAAAACCACCACTTGAGAGGCCAGGGGTGTATCTCAGTGGCACAAGCACCTGCCTGGCAAGTGCAAAGTCCTGAGTTCGATTCCCAGTTCCAAAAAAATAAGATAAAATAAAATAAAACCACTTGAAACATATTTTTCACCAAAAATACCATGTTGCAAATAGAGCAGTCTGTTTGGCAGCCTTGATTGTCTTATTTACACTCCAAGCAGTTCTGCTCAAAGTAGCTTTTAAGAAGTAAGAGTTTTGTAAAACTTTGCAGACATTTCATAGATATTCTTAGTACTTAATCTTGACTATAAGAATATTCTTTGTAGAATATACAGCAGTATTTCAAAACCAACTTTATCTTTATAGATGATGGCTGATATTATGTTCCGAAAACAGGACTATGAACAAGCTGTGTTTCATTTACAACAACTTTTAGAACGCAAACCAGGTAAATACCAACTGACTACATTGTTTTCCAATGCAGTCAGCTCCCTGTTTCCTTTACCCTCTTTTTAGCTGGTCAGCTCACAGGAAAGCAGCAGTCCTGATAGCATCCAACTCTTTGTTTATTGGTGGGTTCTTCTCTTTCTTTTCTTTTTGTTTTCTTTTGGTACTAGGAATCGAGCTCAGGACCTTGTGCTTGCCAGGCATGCACTGTGCCTCTGAGCTCTATCCCCATCCAGCTCTTTGTTTATTTCACACGTTGGCTGGGGTAGCTGAAATCGCCTTTAGAAAATGCAACAGTGTCTATTCGTCTCACTATAAATTATGACCACAAACCATAAGTGGGCGGCCTGGCAGTCCCGCTTTACTTCTCTAATAAATTCACTGACTCCGATACTTTTCACACTTTCTCCTGTGTCCTCAAAGCCTCCAACACCCTTTCCGTGTCATCTAAAAGCCTTGCAACCTACTCTTAAGAAAATACAAGCAACCAGAAGACAGTTCCATCCCTGTCCCCTCCAAACCTACCCATTTCCTAGTCTGTGTCTTTCCCGGAGTTATGGTCCCATTTGCTGCTGGCTTTCATCTGTGTGCATGGACACCATCCGTTATCTGCAGAGCTTTCCTCCTGTATCCCTCTCCCTCTCCCTCTCCCTCTCCCTCTCCGTCTCCCTCACATCATTTTCTTCCTAAGCAACATCATCCTGCTGTGATGACCCCTGGCTTTAAATTAATCGATCAGTAGCCTCCCCACTCACCTTGCGCGCCCCACCCTTATTTTCTACAAGCCTGTGCCATTTTCCTGCTCTTTCCACCTTGGACTCTCGACTCTATTTTGTCCTTCTCTCCGAGCCCATGTTTAAAGGCCATGCACGTGTTTTCACTCTGTCTCAGACTGTCCCCATCCCACAGTGTCTCCTAACCTGGATTCCTAAAAAAGCAGAACTATTCCCTTGTGAATATTTTTAAGTTCCCTTCACACATAGTTTTATAAAATTTAAAGAAGTCTTTGCGTGTCCTGTGCGGGTTTTTGTCACCTACATTTCTGTTACATGACACCATTTTTCTCCAAATAGGCAATAGTTAAACTGACTTAGTGTATCTGTTGCTTTTGACCATTTATAAACAAACATAAAATCAGTTATTCATAAGTTCAGCATAAGGATCTGCATGTTTGCAAGACCAAATGACATGTACCCTTATCTCCAAGTCTTTGTGCAGGATTATCTTTTCATCTGTGATATGTTTTGTTCCCTTTAATCTCTCTCTCGTTCTCAACACATAGTCTAAAATACACGCCTTTGGATGGAAACACAGCTCATCCCAGTGTCACTACCTAGACTTAAAATGCCTCATGTGTTGCTGGGTGGGGTGTGTGTTGCTCGCCATGGTGACACCATAGGGCTTTCCGGCGGTGGGATGTGCATTCACACAGGGAGGGGCCGCCCTAATCCTGGATTGCACTGTCCCTGCTTCTTTATCATTTATAGTATTTTGCTAAAAATACTTACATAGGTACTCGCCTTCCGCATTAAACTGCAAACTTTTGAAGTTCAGGGATTATATATTCATCTTCTATTCCTACTGTCAGACACATTATCAGCCACATACATGGTACAAAATAAATGTTTATTGGTTGAAGGAATCAATGAATGATTACGAAATACCATGTTATTTAAAACTTTCTTATATCTTTCTAATCTTGTTTTGTATGCTTTATTTCTAGTAGGACTTCTTGTACTTGCAAATACATTTTGTCAGCTGTATGCTAAACCTCATACATGTAACATGATCTTATATGTGTATACTATTGGTCATCCTCAGTAATACATCTTATATTTAGAATAAGGCTCTATTTTAGCTTACTTTAGAAATGTGCTGTCCAGTTTGACAACCTAGCTGGTTGAAAAATTCCTTCTTATAGGTTTTATTGTCCTTTTGACAAATTGTATCTTTTCTCAAAATTTCCAAATGACTCTGAGTTTTTCCTTCTGCACACTAGTTGGTTTAAGTGTCTCAGTTCCGTCTGCGTGATAACTAGATATTATGTCCATCTGACCTCTCCTGCCCCACAGCTCTACTTAGGATTTCCTGTCACCTGAATCAGGGAAATTTCTGAGTACTCTTCTAGCTCCTTGGCTGTTGCTATCTGTGGCTATCCTAGGGCTATCAGATCAATTCTAAAAATCACAAGTTATGTATTTGGTGAAAATTTAAGATGGAGGGACTGGGGCCATTGCACAATGGTAGAGCACATACTTAACATGCCCAAGGTCCTGGGTTCAAACTCCAACACCATGTAAAAAAATATTAAGAGCTTTAAAGTCTAAAATAATAGGATGAATTCCACGTCACTGCACTCACGCCGTATATGACTCAACTGGAATTATGTTGATACGTTTCTACAGTCCAACAATGATGATAGACTAGCTAAGTTTTTCAGACCATAGCAGTGCATTTCATTTTTTTAAAATGGAGAAATTTATGTCGTGGGAAATTTCATGGTTTAATTTCAAGCCAGACATTGTGGTACCCTCCTTCAATCCCAGCACTTGGGAGGCTGAGGCAGGAGGATTGCCGTAATTTCAAGGCCACCCTGGACTACAAAGTGAATTCTAGGCCAGCCTAAATTGCATAGTGAAATCCTGTCTCAAAAAAAAAAAAAATTCATGGTTAACCAAATAACAAGTAAATGAAATTTAAAAGCTGGAAGATTTATACAGTCTGAAGAGAAACCAAAGCATAGTAAATGAAATTTAACCTATTAGTGGTAATTGTAACTTGAAATAAAAATGAATATATTTCACCAGTATTGTAAATGGAGAATTATTCAAGAAACTGGTTTCCCAATGCTGACTTTAGAGAAGATTATAAATAAACTGCAAATATTAACAATATCATACACAAAAAATTGGCCAGAAATTTTAATCTTTAGTTCCTGCTTTATTCAATACAGCTTCCAGGTTCTGTAGCTTTACTCTAAGGCACACATAATATTTTGTCAAAATTTAAGAGGTGTAAATATTACCAATGACAGTAGTAGTCAATTATAGCAACCATACCTTTATTTGTTTTGATTTTCATAGCATTCTGGGGTCAACATTATAATCATATTTTAAGAAAACAAGTAGTTTTAGACTCATAGAATTTGAGTCATTTGCTTGTCTTCACATTGATAAAAGACAAGGCCAATATTTGAGTCTTCTTTTTCGTAAATTATGCCCTTGTTATGCTCTGCTTTTTAGTGATTCCAGAAGGGATGAAGAACAAAACCTGTAGACTTATATCAGAGAGGGCAGATGATAATATTGCCAACCTGGGTTGTTTAGAAAGCATGTAATAGAGTGGCTTCAAAGCCTCCAGTGGTTTTTTTTGTTTTGTTTTGTTTTTCTATTGTGGTAAAACACACAACTTAAAATTATTTTTTAGCCATTTTTAAGGGTATGGTTCAATGCTATTGAGTACATTTGCATTGCTGTGTAAGCCACTACTATGATATCCATCTGCAGAACTTTCTCATTTTTCTAACTCTGTACACCACCTCCCTGTCTTCCCCTCCCTCCAGCACCTGATAATCGCTATGCTTTCCACTTCTGTAAATTTGACTCCGCTCGGTGGCTTCTCTATGTGGTAGCATACATTCCTCCTTTGTGTCTGGCATATTTCACTTAGCATAATGTCTTCACTCTTTAATACCGATGGTCATATATGTTAGAATTTCCTTTTTCTAAAGGCTGTATAGCCTTCCATTGTATATCTGTCCACATCTTGGTTTTTTGCTTATCCATTGATGGACAATTGGGTTGTTTCTACTTTTTGCCTTTTACAAATTGTGCTGCTATGATTATGGGTATACAAATCTTGTTTGAGACCCTGGTTTCATTTTGGGGGATATATAGGAGGTAGACTTGTGAGATCATATGGTATCTTCACTTTTCTTGGAAAATAAAATCAAAGATAAGCTGTGTTTAAATGACTTCGTGTATGTATATTTAAGGAAACTTGAGAGACCAGAAATCTGAGAAACACAACTACTGTATAGAGGGATAAGATGTGAATTGTTAATAAAATAAACTTTTATAGCCACTGAAATCTTCAAAGTACCATTTAATAGTTGGGAAATGTTTACTATATAAGGCTGAGTCAAAATTAAATCCCCAAATTTCATTGAAGGCAAAGAATAATTTTAAATGAATTTAAATTTTAATATCTGTGGATCAATTGTCACCATATATGAAATAAAGCATGTCAAAGTGTAAGCATCTCTATTTTGTGAGAATATGAAGGATTTTTTCTTTATTTATACTTCTCTGTATTTTTTCTTATTTTCTAAAATGTTCATGTACCATTCTTAAAAAGTTATTAAATTATTTTCAAAGCTTGGTGTGTACCAATGAGAGAACCAAATGGAACTGAAGGAAGAAAGCTTTCTAGGAACCTTCCAGGAAATTATATCTGAGACCAAGTAACTGAATTCCTTTTCCTTGGAAGAATTTAAAGTCAGATTAAAGTACTGGGGCTAATATGTTAAGGCTATGGTATAAATCATCTTAGTCACTTTCCTCATCACTGGGACGAAATGCTTGACACCCAAAACATGAAGGAGGAGAGGTTTATTTTGGTTTAGTTTGTAGAGATTTCAGTCCACAGTCAGCTGGCTGAAAGGCAGGACGGCTTGGCACAGGGGCACGATGGAAGACAAGCTGCTCATGGTGTGGACAGGAAGCAGGGAGAGGGGGCAGGGAGGGAGATGCAGCCTTCTGGGTCACGCCCCAGTGCCCCACCTCTTTGGACCCCACCTCCTAACACCTATTCAGCTGTGAGCCCACATAATTCAGTCAGCTTCCCCAAGCCCTGCCTGTGAACACATGTGGCTTTGGGGGACAACCAAATATAAACCCTAAACACATTGTTTAGTGTTAGGTACCTGTACATATTAAAGTCTGAAGTAAAACGTTTAATTGCCCACCACCACCATTATCAAGCAGTTCGCTTGCCCTTCTGAATTTTAGAGCTAGAGTCTAGATTACCTAGAGAAAGGCTGTTTCTACAAAGTTTTAGGCCTAAGAACAGCTGAAAAGTAAATTACATTTTTCTAGATGTCCTTCACTCTTTGTGACTAGCCTGGCATAACCTGTATCGTTTGCTTATATGCGGTTGGCCATCCAGTTTCTGAGGTATTCCTTCACTTATATTTAAGTTGTACTTCATTTGAAGTGGATTGTATATTAAAAAGTAGGAATATAACCATCAGACCAACAGTTATGAAATGTTTTTTATATCTGAAGTATTATTTATTTCTAGATAATTATATGACTTTATCTCGTTTGATTGATCTCCTAAGAAGATGTGGAAAATTTGACGATGTTCCAAGATTTTTCGTAATGGCTGAGAAGCATAATTCCAGAGCAAAACTAGAGCCAGGATTTCAGTACTGTAAAGGACTATATCTTTGGTAAATCCATTGGCAAATAAATCCTACATAGTAATTTTTTTCACTGTAGATAAAATAGAAGGAGCTTTTGTTTGTAATTAAATATATATATATATCTTTAAATATGTTAATACTTTTGTTCACCAAACATATCACAGCCTAGTGTAAATGTTGTAGAAAATGATTGAAATAATGTTTTTAAACATCTAACAAGGTACACTGGAGAGCCAAATGATGCCCTTCGACATTTTAATAAAGCTCGGAAAGACAGTGAATGGGGCCAAAACGCCCTTTACAATATGATAGAAATCTGTTTGAATCCAGACAATGAAACTGTCGGAGGTGAAGTGTTTGAAAACCTGGATGGAGACCTGGGGTGAGTAGTCTGACACGTTATCCTTTGGCACATTTTTTACAGTTGTTGGGGACAGTACGCAGGCATACTTTATAAAAAATAACTGAATTCTAGTACAGCATTAATGAAGGGTTGAATGCCTTTGGCTAACATCAAAATAACAATTTTCTGGAGTAGATAAGAAATACATTATGAGGTTTCCTAAATAACAAGAGACATATTATAAAGACACTGTCCTAATTATACTGTAGAAAATAAATTACATGAAGTTGATAACTATGGTAAAAATTGTCCACACAATGAACTACTTAAATAATAGTTTTATATAAGCCAACCCGGTGCTCTATACTTTATATGTACTATCTCATTTATTCCTTAAAACACTAGTATAAAATAAGCTCAGAGTCAGCTTTCCTAATGTGACAGTTAACATAGAACAAAATGTGGACTGAGGGCTCCCTGGCCTCAAGCATCTGCTATTGTTCGCTGTGCTAGTCTGTGGTAAGTGATTTCTATCAAGCTGTATTTGGTGCATCTGCTGTATTCAGAGTTAGGCAAGGCTTGGGGAAGAATGTGTAAGGATGTGCAGGGAATATAAAAGGTATTCTCTGCCTTCAGAGCCTGTAGTTCCCTTAAAATAAAAGACAACACCAGAAACCTTTCAATCTCCAATACAGCCGACATGGACTAAAATGAATATTAAGTATTGCAGGAGTTCATAGAAATTTGCATACTGATCAAGGGAAGATGCTTAGAGAAGTGGTGTAAAACTAGCACTAACCTGCTGAGTAATTGAAATGACGAATTTTAAGGCTTAGATTTATAAAGAAGACTGAAATTTTAGAAGGGAATGGCCTATTTATTTTAACATTTGTTTTAAGAAGGTTGAAGTTGCATACTGTTACAGAATTATAGGTTACCAAAGTGGAGATCTTTAGCAAGTCGTTAAAATGCAAAACTAGAACTGAGAGGGAAGTGACTGCTGGCTGTGCAGAGGCGGGAGACGTGTGCACAAAGTGGACAGTTGGAATCCATGAAATGCCTCCCTGCGAGGTGGCATAGTAACACAGCTCTGAGAAAGAAATTTTGGGCATTCTTCCATTTAAGTGGTCTGAAGGAGGAGAGGGGATTAGGAAAGGGCAGTCAGTGTGGTGGGAAGAGAAACAGAAGCCAAAGGAGAGGAACTCTGAAGAAGGTTGACACCAGTATGCAGAGTTTTAGGTACGATAAAAAGCGAAGACCCAGGAAAGGATGAACGACGGTAGTGATTCGACTTGGAGAGTTTAATTTCCTTTCTTAATTGAATATTTAAAATATCTGTATATGGTATATTAAAGTAAGAAACTTGCTATCAAATATTCAAATTGATATTGTACTCCAACTTTACAACATTTTAACACATGAAATTTCTTTTTTGATAGCATGGTAAGGAACATAGAGTAGATTTTATATACTAGAGGTAATAAGCTTACATTCACACCCTCAAACTACCATTTATTACCTGTTTATGCTCTGACCAATCATTTCACTTTAACTTCCATTTTCCTGTATGTAAAATTAACTTCACATACATTGAATAAAATCATGAAGTGCTTGGCTTTTTCTCTCTTCCTTTCTTCCCTTTCACTTTCTAAACTGACAATACCATTTCTAATTGCATAATTCTGTTTTATCTAGTTTTGCATTAGCTTAACTGAATACATTTACCATATATACATTTGCTCTATTTTTTTTCTTCTAGTGTGAATTATAGTTCAGTGGTATTTACTAGTGATACATGTTTTTATTTAAAAGTGGATTATAATTGTGTCATACTAGGTACTAGAAAAGAATGAGTGACATTTTCCACAAAGGATTATTTCTAAATACGTGATAGAATAGAAGCCATTGTACACCAAGCTGTGATTCTAATCTCAGTGGATTTTATGAGCAATAGACATGTGATTTATTTTTAATTGTACACAGTAATTCAACTGAGAAGCAAGAGTCTGTGCAATTAGCAGTGAGAACTGCAGAAAAACTCCTTAAAGAACTGAAACCTCAGACTGTTCAGGGCCATGTACAGCTTCGCATCATGGAAAACTATTGTTTAATGGCTACGAAACAAAAACCTAACGTTGAGCAAGCGTTGAGTACCTTCACCGAAGTAGCAAAATCTGAGGTTAGTACTTTCTGTTTTCAGCTATGTATTTATCTTTCTTTGGTAGTATAGAAACATGCATTTAGATTAGTTTATTTTATGAAGATTGGCATATTTATTTTTAAAAACTTAAATGTATACTCTGGCATAATTCTACACAATATACTTTTCTTTCCTGAAGAGATGCTGTTACTTTCTTGATGTGTTATTATCTTTACTGGATGTTGAATTCTGCAAAAAAGGGAACTCTCCAGAAGGATCTCAGTTTATTGCCAAGGGAATGACTTACCTTCTGGAGAATTTCTGTGTTGTAGATATAGCCTAGGTCAACTTCCTAAGTTAAAATAAACACCTGTCTCCTGGAAGCTCACCTTTTCACTATGTTCTTGGAATTTTTTCAACTCCAAGGCTAAATGAGATCAATACTGACAGTTTACAGTTCAATCATACAAATGATAGTTTTGACCTTTCACAACACTGAAAGAACGTCTTATAGTCCTTTTGTTAGTACTGTTTTGCATACTATTCTTAGAAGACCAAAGCTTCCCTCCTATTTAGTCTCACTCAGAACTGTGTTCTTTCCTTCTGTCTGTTTATATGTTCTAGGTTTCCTTTTCTCACACAGGACTTACGGTATTCACCCAATTGGCAGTTGGTAAGGGTGTTCATTGGAGTTCATGATTGTTCTTTCACTCAGCAACTTCAGGCCACAGAAAACTCTTCTCTCAGAGGATATAAAGCAATTTGCCCTGTTTTCTTCTGGTTCAGAGGTCACAGTCATAGCCTCAGACTGCCAAAGACCCCCTACAGTGTTCAAATTGAGATACTGGCACATGGGAGACTACAGCTTCTGTCCTGGTTTAGTACAGGTGGCAATAATTATTCCCATTCTCAGCCACACACAGCAAAGTACCATCAGCAGCAGTACCACCATAGAGCAGAGCCTTTGTGGAGACTTTAAAGTGACGTGCCAAGGATTAGTCTTTGTTGAATTGGCCTTGTGCAACAGATATGTGATAATTGCTGAATAAAGGGGAGGAAGACAATCATGTAAATCTAAGAAAAATCTGAGAGCACGTGACAAAGCACAATTTCAAGTAAGGTGCCCTTGCTACTGCGTGTTGTGAGTAGTATTCTATGCCAGTGAATTTGATTTGAGTAAATCTAGTATTCTTTTTTCGGTGTTTAAAAAAGAGCCAAAAGCAATGATTGATATTGCAGCAGTTTCCTAGCAAGTCGGTGCCAGTTTTTAGTGTTGATGAGGCTGCGTTATTTTCATCACCCTTACCAATGCAATTCTTAACTTGTCTTTCTCAAATATATTTGTTGATCATATTATCAAATTGATGATCAGAGTGATTATCAAAATGATGACAGGTGAGCTGAAATTTCATAAACCCTGGTTTGTATCTCACATTTTTCTTTTCACTTATAGGCTACATATACTCAATATAGTGACTATGTATTGAGTAACCAGGGAGTACTAAGCACAGTGGTGATCACAAGTAAAGTGGTATATAGTTCCTTTTTTAAAAAAGTTTCTCATAATTTACACAAAATAAGGCATATTGACTAACACAAAGCAAAGTGAGTTATATTTTGCCCTAGAATTCAAATAAAAGTGACATAGTTCATAACATAAGGAGGATGGAGAGCCCTTTTTGTGGAGCAAAATTATTTAAAAACCACAGATAAAGTGCATTTTCATAGTCAGAAATGAGCAGTGTCTTCTGAGTGAAGAAAAATATGAACAAAAGCAGGTATGCAAAAAAGCCAGAGGCATATTCACAGCACTGTCACTCAGAGGTGCGTGGCAGGAACTCGGAGAAGAATGGTGGAACATCCAGTAGCCTAAGCTGAACTCTCTCCTCTTGCTTTACCTTGCAGTGTAAAAGTGCACTAGTTATACTGGAGCTCTCCTGTCCACTCTTGAATTTTATCCTCAGGGGTGACTGAAAGTGAAAGAAGCTGACTAAAGGTGTTGTGTTAGAACACTTGACTATCATGCACCATGCCCCAGAATCCATCCCCCACACCAAATGAACAGAAACATAAACAAACAAACAAAATCCCTGACTTGAAATTACACTACAGAGCTACTGTGATAAAATCAGCATGGTACTGGAAAAAAAAAAAAAAAAAAAAAAAAGGACCTGACGATCAGTGGAACAGCTTAGAAGATGCAGACACAACTACAAACACGTTCAGCCTCCTTATCTTTGACAAAGGGGCCAAACATGTTGACTAGAAGAAAGAGAGCCTCTTTAATAAGTGGTGCTGGAAAAACTGGCTTTCCACATGCTGAAGACTAAAACTAGATCCGTGTTTATCACCATGCACTAAACTAAAGTCAAAGTGGATCAGAGATCTAAATATTAAAACAGAAACACTAAATCTACTGGAAGAGAAGCTAGGTAGAAATCTTGAAGACAGGGGCAGGCAGAGAATTCATGAACAAATACTAAATTGCATGAAAAATACTTCAAAGAATCAACAACCCAGATCTCATCTTATTAAAGAGTTTTTGCACATCAAAAGAAATCACCAACAGAGTAAGAGGAAAACCCACAAACTGGGAAAAAGATTTTAGCCAATTGTGCCTCAGACAAAGGATTTCTGTCTAGAAAATATAAAGAATTTGTAAAAATCAGGCCTCCAAAATTCAAAGACCCAACCCAAAAATGGGCACCTGAGATAAATGCACACTTCTCAGATGAAGAAAAACGAATGGCAAATAAATATATGAGAAAATATTCAGCATCATTGGTCATTCAAGAAATGCAAATTAAAACAACACTGAAGGTCCATCTCACCCCAGAAAGAATGGCTGTCATCAAGAAGTCAACCAATAACAAATGCTGGCAGGGCTGTGGGGAAAAAGGAACCCTACTCCACTCCTGGTGGGAGTGTAGACTAGTGCAACCACTGTGGAATCAGTGTGGAAATTCTTCAAAAAACTAGGATTGGAAATTCCATTCAACTCAGCTATTCACGTTCTGGGTATTTTTCCAGAAGAATTGAAAACATCATACCACAACAATATATGTGCACCCATATTTATAGCAGCACAATTTGTCATAGCTAAACCTTGGAAACAACTCAAATGCCCATCAACTGAGAAATGGATAAAAAAGATGTGGTATTTTTATACAATGGAGTATTATTCAGCTATAAAGAAAAATAAACTCAAGGCTTTTATAGGTAAATGGATGCAACTAGAGACCATACTCGTAAGTGAAATAAATTAAACCCACATGTGTAAACATTGTATTATCTCCCTAGTATAAGAACCTGAAAGTGTTAATAAAATCTGAAAGGTACAACAGATATTGTGAAGGGGAAAGAAGGTGCTCAAAAGGAAAGAACAACTGGGATGGGGAGCAAATAAAGAAGGGGAAAAAAAAAAAATATATATATATATATATACACATACACAAGATAGCTAAAATAACTGTACTTCTAATTTTTATTGGTTTATTGAAGAGAACAGCTAATACTTAATTGATCAATTTTGCATGCCTGTATCTGGTAATCTGAACAACTACTTATGAAGGTAATAATATGCAATATAACAGCCACTGTTGATTTCCTGTCATCTTGCTTTGAACTTCTGTATCATTTTTTATGTTTTTCATTATTTATTCTCTTTAAAATAAGAAAAAAATACCTGTGGTCTGTTCAGAGATGAGAACTCAGTTTGCAGTTTTAGAAACTGTTCTTTGATTCACTCAAGAGTGGTCAAGTGGTAAAGAACTGATTCTAATCCGCAAGCTGTTCAGTTTTAACATCAGAGTCTTACTTTAAATACGTAGTGTGGGATGTTTTTGTTCATGTGGTTTTCATAGGACCCTTCTGTTCTTACGCCATTCTATGACCTGACAAAAACACACAGCAAGCCTCTATTTATTGTCCTGCCCTAGCCTACCTAACTTAAGGTCAAGCTTAATAATTTATCATATTCCACAAAGTCTATTTTCAGTTCGTTGGATTTCGGACTCCAACTGTTCTGACACTCTTTATCTGGGAAAAAATTACATATTGAAAGTTTATTGACACATAGAATTAGAATGAAGTTTTACATTCCCGTTGATTTTATCAGACCCTAACAAAGCCCATCCTCTTCAGTAGTTATTTATCTTCTAACCATAGTCAGTGTTGGACATGGAACATTTTCTCACTCTGCCCTCTTTTTTCATTAATCATTATTGGTAACCCAAATTGACAATCCTACGGGAAACTTATATTATCATTATGACTTGTAATTAATATCTGAAGTGGAGACCCTCCTATTTCTAAAAGTATCATAATCCCTCTGCCAAAATTTCAAAGTTTAAATTTGTAGTTACAACTATAGTTAATCAGGGGCATTATTGCTTGTGCAAGTTAGTTTTCTGGATAGATTGCTGATGGCTTCCATTTTATACCAATTGTAATTAACCTGTTGGTTTCACAGCATGACATTTTCTGACTTCGAACTCTATCTAAAATACTGTTTTATAGACCCTATGAGGAAACTGCAAACTGTACATCTGAAGGCTTATTTTAAGGCATGAGATTCCATGTGATTTCTAGGTGATTAATTGCACACCTGTGTAACATTTAAATGGTCCAACTTGATTGTGAGAAGAGGTTCTTTAGTAAAAGGAGAAGGCTGAAAAATGAGCAATAAAAATCAATTGGCAGTGCATATCTGTAATCCCAGCATCCTGGGAGGGAGGCTGAGGCCAGAGGATCACACGTTCAAGCCCAGCCTAAACATCTTAGTAATGTAGCAAGACTCTATTTCAGAATTAAAAAAAAAAAAAAAAAAGATAAAAAAATGACTGAGGATGTAGCTCAGTGCAAAACCCCTGGGTTCAATCCCCAGTACTATAAAAATAAATCACTTGGACTACCATTCGTGAGAAATTTTTCTAGTACTATTCTTATTTGGCAGGTGAAGAACTAAGGAAGTAAAAACACTATGAAATAAAAACTACCCATACTGAAATGGGATTTTTTTTCTGTTTCTATACAAACAAAGTAGCTAGGCAATCCCATTACAAATCCAGTTACACTCACTTATGGGATTTTGTAGTTGTGGGATCTGCGTAGTTATGGAATTATTTTGACCACACAGAGTCTAAGTGTGTTTCTTCATGATAACTTGCGACTACTTGATAGGTTCAAAGGTGATCGTAATCACAGTTAACTGTTACGCAGCCAGAATATATATTAGACCAATTCTTATATAGTGTGTGCTGCTTTCATGTTTTTCTTTTAAATAGAAGATGTTTATTTTGTGTATCTACTGGACTGAAGTTCTTTTTTCTTACAGAATGATCATATCCCAGCACTCTTGGGAATGGCAACAGCTTATATGATCTTGAAACAGACACCAAAAGCTAGAAATCAGCTGAAACGGATTGCAAAAATGAATTGGAATGCTATTGATGCAGAGGAGTTTGAGAAGAGTTGGCTCCTACTTGCTGATATCTATATTCAGTCAGCAAAATATGACATGGCAGAAGACCTACTAAGACAATGCCTGCGTCATAATAGAGTAGGTGATTCAAGAGTGATAAATAATTGTTAACCTTTGTTACATAGTCTTTCTGTAGCAGGGTATTGTAGTATGCTGGTCTATTTCCAATGCTTCTTGAGTGTTTTTTTTAAGTATTAAATGTATATTTTAACAGAAGCGAAAAATAATAAGAAGGAAGTGATTTCCCTTGCAAATAAAGAACGAAGATTTATGCACTTTCAGGTTTCAGCTGTGATAATGCCCTTCTTACAGAAGATGTTTCTGGAATGTCAAGCATTTGCCTGTGATTACCCACCTCATCCAAGAACTAATGAAAATTGCAGCACAATAATTTTGGGTGTCTGTCCCTCCTATTAAGAATACACTTGATGAATTTACTGCAGCTGTATGTCATTTCCTAATTATTAGGATCCACTGTGCATAATATATTTCATGGGAGGATGTCTCCTTAGCTTTTAATTGAATAAAAAGTCTTATCTTTAGATAGAAAATTTGAAAAAAATCTTCAAGTCCATAAAACAGAAGGCTTTTTACTACCATTTTGGTATTTAGTCATACAAAGGAGACATCTTAGTATGAGAGTTTTGTAAAAATTTTGTTATTATTTGCTGAGAAACTTGAAGGTGTTTATCTTCACAGATTCATACTGATTACTTCAAATTTTTAATCACAGTAAATGTTCTATTCTCTGAGCAAATTAGATTATGAAATGCATCATTTGTTTTATAAAGATGTTATGATTTTCTAGTACTATTTGTATACTTTCTTAGTATATAAATACCAAGCTAAAGTAAAACATTAAATTTAAACTACAACATCCAGCCATTTATCAATTTCTACACTATTCCAAGTGATCAGTTACATCCATTTTAAGTTAAGCTAGCTTTGAAAACAGAAGCTACTCATCAACAAGCTTTAAAAATCTAACTGAATAGTTGAACCTTGTATGTCTGACGTAGAATTAAGGAAGACTTCATGAGAATTAAGGTTTTGATGCAGGCGCAGTTTCAGTTTGCTGGAGCACTGACAGCAATACCTTGCATAATTAAGCATGAGGACTACTTTAGAGACTTTATTTGGCCCTGCTGATTAGGCATGTCGATATTGGGAGCATGAGATTCATGCACTAAAGAGCGTACAAATCTTGGGTTATATCATTTAAACAATGGAAATCATCCAGTTTTAGTCAGGAAATGCCCAAGATGGCACTAGACCATCTTGTCCTGCCAGATGTCAGGGGAGGTGTCAGGCGTGATTAGAGTAGTGTCAAGGACCGAGGAGCAGCCTGAAGACACTCCCAGGAGCCACAGTTAGGACACATGTGCGTGCCAGTGGGGGTGATAAATGCAGTAGGTAGAAATACATCAAATATATCTAACCCACAGCTTCATAAAAGTAAAAGAAAAAAAGAAAACCTAATTGGTTACCACGGCAGTATGCTAATGAGCTGACTCATTTCTAAAGCTGACAGATAAAATGAAAGCAGCATCTATCCTGTCTTTTCTGTATACTATCAGGTAATCAGATAGGAGATAGTAGATAAGGAGAGAGTTTTCATTGTACACATTTCTAAGACAGTAAAGGAAGAAACACTGGTAGAATCTTTTTCCAAACCTGGTGAATTTTTTAATGGCCATAATATTACAAAAAGAGGGGAAATCAGGCATTCTGTGCCTCCTGATACAACACAGCCGCTGTGACAGGGTCAGGACTGGTGTGAGACAAGAGAAATACTCAATAATCATAATTTAATCCATTTTTTTTTTTTAGAAAATCAAGAGAATTTAAAAAATCAGAATTTCAAAGTGTTAGGATTTGACTGTGCTATGCTGCAGTATAGTGGAGCCTGAATCAAAGGAGAAAATCTGCATCTCTGTCTGTTTTTTTTATTTGGTACCAGGCAAATCGAACTCAGGACCTTGCACTTGCCAGGCAGGCACTGTGCGGCTGAGATATATCTGTGGCTATATTCATTTTTTATGTATATTCTTAATGAGTCTTGCTTTTAATGAAAATATTGATAAAACTTATTTTAAAGGAAAGCAAAATTACAATAAACTCAATTACTATATATAAATACTCAAACCACTTGTAACTGTAATTACAATTTCCAGAAATTATCAGTGACATAGGAATGTATAAACACAGGATTCAGTCACCTAAATCTGGGTTAAGAGAAACTCTCGGATGAGTAATCTTGTCTACACTACATTTAATTAAAAGGGACAGGGGAACAATCACAAAAAGAAACCCCTAAATCAAAAAGAGACTTCGGCCACATTCTAGTTCATCACAACATGTGAACCTTATTTGGATACTCATTATAACAAATCTTTTACATTTTTAAAAATTACACTGAAGCAGTTTGAAATTTCAACAGTTACTGGAGATGTGGTAGTTGAGAAGTTGCTACACTTTATGTATCATAAAGTGTGGTTTTGGTAAAGAATCCTTATCTTTTCAAGGGGCACATTAACATTTCTATAGATGAAATAGTACAGTATCTGAGGATATTCTTCTGGTGATATGGAAGCACAAGTATATGAAGTAGAGATGAGACACTCAGTAGTGAATTAATTTTTGAAGGTAAGTTATGGGCTCACAGAATTCATTGTAGTTTTATTTCTTTATTTGTATTGTGTTGAAGTAATTTTTAATAGATAATGTATGTGTGTATGCACAAAATACCTGGACTCGTGCGTTTCTGATTTTGTAAAAAAAAAAATCTTTTTTGGGATAGAGACATGGCATTAGAATTATTCATTAAATTCTGTAAATGATCTGAATCCATACTCAAGATTGAAAACATTGCTCTCTGGTCCAGTAAATGGGTCAGTGTGATTGATCTCTTTGCTGGTAAACGTCCCATACAATTTTGCTGTGTCAGGCTTATTAATACATTTCCCATTTCTCTACAGTCCTGCTGCAAAGCTTATGAATATATGGGCTACATCATGGAGAAAGAGCAAGCGTATTCAGACGCTGCCTCAAACTATGAGATGGCGTGGAAGTATGGCAACCAGGCAAATCCCGCTGTAGGTGAGTTTAGCAAATTAGGCACTGGGTTTTTACTGGAAACTTGTATTTGTAAATCTTGATTTAAGCGGTTTTTTGTTTGTTTGTTTCAGAATGAAACATATTAAGAGCCAGTGTTCACTGTCAGTCTTTCTGAGCAGAGAATATATTTTATATTCATAATAAATTTTTTCCGTCAGATACTTAAATATAATTTCCTGGGCACCAAACCTGACCTTAGTCACCTTAGCAAATATTGAGTCTAATTTTTCCATTGTCTCTTCGTATCGCTCTTCGCAGTTTTGAGGAGGGGCATGTCCTGCTGTCATACCACAGTGATATATGTGCCCTCAGATAAATTAGGACAGCGTTGCATTAAGTCAAGTAACACATATCTTTACTGTAGGTCTTCACAAAGCCTTTGACTCATGCTCCTTGTGATAAATCTCACAGAAGGATCACATTTCCCACAATTCTATCATACCATATCAGTTTTCTCCTGACCATCTGAAAACATTATCTAGTTTAGATGTTTTGTAAATAGTTTGAGGAGTGCTAACCTACTTGTCCCTCCACCAGATGGTTAGCATCTGGAATATACTTAGTGAGTAACCTCAGCCCTCATTATGAGACAGCTCTTTGTATACTTTTCTGTTTGTATTGAGCAGAAATCTGCTTCCTTGAAACTGCCCAGGGCTGTTCTCTGGAGTAGTCCATGAGTCTTTTCCCACTCACTGACAGTGGCGCTCCTGCCCTGTCTTTATAAGGCTTTTCTTCAAACCAGCCTCAGTTCGCTGTGCATTCATTCTAACACTGGGTTTTGGGCCCTTCACCCTCGTTTCTGTACCTTGGAAGCTCAAACATGTTTCCCTAACCTATGCTTTGAAACACTTGGAGAGATTTTCATAGCTATTTTAAAATGAGGACAAAAAAGACAAAAAGCAGGTGAATATGAAGAAGATGGATTCTGTAGCCACAAAGGGTAGAAACGGCTCTTTCATTTGTCCATGTCCCTTCTGCCCCATTGCACGTAAAATAAACATGTTTGCAAATATGAGTTGACTAACTGTGGATGTAGTGGAGTTGTTTTCTCTTGATTAGGCATTTCCTAGTTGTTAATGCAGCTTAAAATGGTGTGGGAGTCGGGGGAAAGACAAGGAAAGGAAGGGAGGGGAGGAGAGGGGAAAGGTGGGCATCAGGAGCTGAGAGCAGTAAGAGAAGAACCCATTCGTGCTTCACCCGTCACCCATCCTCACGCTACATGACAGTCTGCTGTGTTCATTTTCTCGGTCTCTTTTTTTGTCGGATACCGTATGGTTGAGTTCGTATAAGTTTGACAGGTATAATGCACCTGTAGTCCACAGGTTCCTTGTTCTTTCTAGCCCTGTATTCCCTGTCTAAAAAAAAAAACACATTAGTACATGGTCTGTCAAGTTTCTTCCAACATTAAAACTGCTGCTGTTGTTTAGTGGCAGAAATAAACTGCCAGCGTCTATGTGGTACTTGCATTTCACAACAAATATTCCATTTGATTTTTTTTTAATTATACGAAGAGAGGAAAGAGTTGTTTTCCTCATTTTATGGATGAGGAAACTTGAAATTGACAGCTTAAACTACTTGCCTGAGATCCCAAAGCTAGTCAGGAAGCCAGAAGCCAAAACTTAAACTTGTTTTACTAGTTGCCACATGAATTATGTCTGACATAATATCTTAAATTGTTTTCCTTTTAAGTGGCACTGTGTTTGTCCATTTTAGAGATCTTGTTATAACTTTGTGTTTACCTCTCTGAAGCCTCTAAAACTTAGTTTTGGTTTTGGCACTTCTGTATGTTTATGTGGAATACACTATGTATATTTATATTTATTTATACATATTTATATACTATATATTTATACATTATATATTAATGTATCTATATTGAACTCTCATACATTGTGAATCTTAAATAATTCTTATTTTTTACTATCATATGATTATATTAACTAGTAACTCTTTTCAAATATTTGCTTGAAATTTTGAAAGCCCACGAGCAGCATTCACATTTTCCTTTCGTTCTCTAAGCTGCAAAGCACTACTTACTGATTACACGTCTTCACGTTGTGCTGTATCTCACGCACCAAGTACACAGCTGCTGCTGCTTACCTTGGCTCCTCTCAGTTTTCTCATCTTTTAGCATTCTTGCGGAGAACAACGTTCAGTTAAGAATATCGCAGAATAACCTTCCCAGCTGTTCGCACTGCAAGAGCGGCGCCTCTGCGCCGGTCACTGTGGTCCTTCCCAGGCTTTCTAAGGTGGACCCTGACCGCTGCCCTGCGCCCCTTCGTGTTGCTCTCCGTGCTCTGTCCATGCAGTGTCCGGAGGCTCCTCGCTTTCCCTCAGCCCGGCCTCGGCCCTCACACGTGCGGCTGCCTCAGCCTCACAGCGCTCCTGACCCCTGCCTGTCCTAGTTTATGCCTGTTTTCAGATTTCAGACAACTTGACACCCTTGTACACTCCCTTCCAAGTTCCTTATTACAATTTTCTGAGATTCGATCTTACATTTATCGCTGTTTTGAAATTATTTATGCATGGAATTATGTACTTTTCTCTCTTAGTAGGATGTAAAATTCATGACTATAAGAGTCAGTTTTCTGATGTGTGAGGTGCTAATGCTGTGCAAATGAGTGGCAGTGTTGTCAGTATCTGCCCCGCCATGAGTGCCCACTCTAACAAAAATCTTTTCTAACAAGTACAGAAACCACCCCAGTGGGATGGCGCCTTCTCACCCACCAGCACATTCACTGGAGGGCCTTCCCTTCAACTGCGTTTTCTCTTTGACTTGTTTCTCTTTCACTTCAGTCTGGCTTCTATTATCGTATCACTTCCCTTTGGTAATTCATTCAGCAGCCTACGTTAGAAGTCTAATGGGTAAGAAAACTTAGATGGCAAAAATATATATATACATACTAACAGTGTGCTCACTGTATGTCATTTTCTTCCCTTAACAGGATACAGACTGGCATTTAATTACTTAAAAGCCAAAAGATATGTGGATGCAATCGACATATGTCACCAGGTAAGGACTTAAATGTAGATTTCATAAGATTTTCTCAGATACATGATTCCCTACTTTTAGTTAATCTCGTGATACATACAAGTAGAAGCAGAGAATGTAGTGTCTTGGCTCAGTGAGTTAACAGATATTCTGGAGAGATTATCAGCATGCAAAATTGGGAAGGTAATAAAATTTAAATCAAATACATGTTTTAATTTGTACTCAATGACATGTGTGTGTCAATTTAGTGATAGGCCAGAGGAAGAAACATGTTAGGTGACACTTTCATCTCTGAGTTAGAGATGCCTAAAGACAGTATAAATTCTCCGGGTCATTTTTCTGAGATGTTCTTGTGAGTTATTTTAAATCTGTTTATTAACTAAGTTAGATTTATAAATGAAGATAAGATAATCTGTAATGTAAGTTATTAAATTACATATCTATAATTTGTCCCCTGTTGTGTGATCCTCTACTGAAATTGTAAGTTTTAAATTTCAGTTTTAGAATTTCCATAATTCTTTTGTATATACATGATCCCATTGATAATCTATCTAAAACACTATATTAAACATTTTAAAGAGCTCTAAGAAAAGCGCTTTAAAAAATAATTTTTAATGTTATTTTTCCTGGATTACTATGTAATTAGTAAGCACTTGGCCTCAGTGATTGCTGTCGATTGCACAGTGTCTCTGTAAGGCGGTGTTTCTCATTACAGTTAAGGATGTACATTAAGGGAAGGCTAGACCTTCATGTTACTGTGGAGTTTTGTTTTAAGTGACTGCTTCCCCATTCTTAGACTCAATGAACTCATTAACTGTGTGTTTCAAAGATGTGCCCCAGGTAAATCTGAGATGGTGTCTGGTTAAAAAATCACTCTACAAGTTTTATTAAGTATTGTAAGTAGATAATTACAAAAATATGCTAAATCATTGATATGTAATTATTTCTTGTAACTTGTCTGTTAAGGAAGAGTTACATTTGTTTTATCTTCCAGAAGTGGTGCTCACATTCTGCTGTTCCTATCTGCTAAGAAACATGAGTCATCATGTTACATCAAAGTGTCACCTTTGAAAAATGTTATAGCTGTAATATTAGTACAACAGAATCTCAACTCTAATAACCATTTATAGTAAATTTTGTAGCACCCTGCTTCTCAATAATTACAAATTCTTTTCTTTTCTTTTTTCTTTTCTTTTCTTTTTTTTTTTTTTTTTTTTTTTGTCTTTTCAGGTTCTTGAAACACATCCAACTTACCCCAAAATCAGAAAGGATATACTTGATAAGGCCCGTGCATCTTTAAAACCTTAAATATAATGATTTTAATCTACTTTATTGGCTAAGCAGGAAATAAAAGGACTCAACATTGAGTACTTCCAGTTCAAGATAGGTTTGAGCAAATGCTTTGTATTAGAGCATATTTCTCTCTCTCCAGCAGAGGCTGCTGCTGTATATGGAAAGACACTATGTTAAATTGATGTTTTCTAATAGAGAAGTTAAAAGAAAACTAGTCTTTTTGATTAGGTGCAAATTTAGTAGTTCTGTGGTAAAACTATCTCATTTTTATAAAGAACATTTTTGTTAAAATCCAAGTAATATATTTTCTTTAAAGAATATTAATCATTTATTATGTATATTTACAATGCATTTTTCTGTGTTTTTTGTTAGACTCCAGTGGTATTGATTTGGTATTAAGTTATAAAAAGAAACAGTATTATTTTGAATATGTATTTTAATAAAGATTTCATAAATATTTGGTTTACATTCATAAATATTTGGTTTACATTCTTCGTGGAACTCGAAGGGTACAGTAAGTTTTGCAAAATCAGGGTTATCTCCCATGCTGTCTGTAGTATTAAAGAATTAATACTGAATACCATGGGAGTTTCTTAGGAAAACATGTTTTGGAAAAATGCAGTGTGTCTCCCTTTGTTAACCTCATACATCTTACTGTCAGTGACAGTGTGATGCCAAGAAATAATCATTATCTGAAATCAGTTTAAATAGGTAAACTCTTACAGTAATATTTAACCTTAGACCAGAAGACTAGGTCTTGTGAAGTTCCAGACACTGTGTCATCTGGCAGAGAAGGGTGATAAATTGCTTTTAGTTATTAGGAACTCAAAGCATACTGTGTACAATTTTTATCCAAAATTAGTAAGATCAGTTCTCAGTGTTTTTTAAAATTTCTTACCTAATACATCTTTTTCAGGTCTTTTAAAATATAGTAAATACAAGCTTCTATTTCATTTGCAAAGTACAGTTACTTTAAAAAGTCATTTGCTGCTTTTCTTTAAATGTCCCATGTTTCTTCATTTTGAACTATATAATCTCTTCTTTCTGATCACTTCTCCAGTTTTTCACTGTCATTTTGTTCAATTTATATATACCATATATCTAATTCTAATCTTTTTCCTACATTTTATTCACAGAATTTCATGAAACTAATAACATTTATAAAATATTTCATATTTGCCAAAACATTTTTTCATATGTATTGTATAGTTGATCTTCACAAGCCTAGACTAGACATACTATATCCTTGTTCTATAGATCTAGAACTACAAAAATTGTCTCTTTCTCCCTAATGCAGGGACAGATAATCTTTCTACCTGATGAACATTGTGATTTGCTTGCTGACTGAACTCTGTGCTTCACACATGCTGGACAAGGATGCTACCTTCTAGCTACACCCCCTGCATGCATATTCTTAAGAATATTACTATACACTGAGTTTTGTGTCCCTACCACCCAAAAATAATTCTTACGTCGACACTTTAGTCTCTAATGTGATGGTATTAAGAGATGGGGCTTTTGGGAGATAGTTCAGGAGGATGAGACCATCCTGAATGGAATTACTGCCCTTACAAAAGGGGTCCCAGAGATTCTCTAGGTCTCTTAACCATATGAGGATATACAAGGAGAGTGCAGCAACCTGAAAGAGCACCCTTACATCACCTGACAATGCTGGGACCATGATCCCAGTATTGAAGGCATGGAACAAGTAAGTTTTCCCAGAGAGCTCAGCCATAGAGCGTTCTGGGTTCTCATTCACTCCCTCCTCCTGTCTTTTTTGTTCTTTCCCCTCCACCAAGCATGCTAGACCACATGGAGCATATCATTTCATCTAACATAGTTTTTGCCTTACATCCACCCTAGAATTCTTTTGTACTCTCCCTGGCTCACACCCTGGCTTTCTCCGAGCTTCCCACTCTAGGCTTGCTCTCTATCAGGTATTTTATTTCCACTTCCTCAAAGAGACCACGTCTGGGCTCACAATGTAAAGCACCTACCATGCCATTCTAACCTCTCTATGCAACACTTAGTACCATCTGATTTTTTTTTCTTTACCAAGGATTGGTTTGTATGGCATGCTCAAGTTCACAAAAACATGAAAATTGGAACTCAGATTTGGCAGTCATGACTCTAGATTGCTCTAAATGGTGGCCACTTGAAGAAAGTAGTGCTCATAACAAGTTAAATGAAAGTGGAAAGGGACTCAGAATGGAGTGGGAGGGACACCACAGACAGAAAAAAAAATGTAGGTCTGGAATCTGCACACAGTTCTCACCATGGAAAGGAAGCAGTTGTGAGTGTAATGCACTTTTGACCTTAACTGAACTATAATTTGGTAAACTGGGTTGCAAAAGGAACTAGCTTCCTTCTCCAGTAGAGAAAATCTGAAAGTTTTTATGCATGGATAGCTGAAGAAGTTAGGTTGAACTTCCCACTAGAGTTCAAGTAGATAATGAAATCACTGTGGAAACCAAAACACCAAATAAAAATCTAAGAGGGGCTGTTCTGCTTTGGGACAGGACATGAAATGTGAGTAACTTGAAAATAGTACCACATAGCATTGGTAGTGTGAATAGTTTCTGTTTTGTTTTTTATGTAAGGTTAGCAAGATGTAAGAAACCACCTGGTTCATGCACTGGTAGTAGAAGTAGGGCAACATTCCTGGAGAGCAATTTGCTGTGTGAAATCCTTAACCAGGGACCATTTTTAAAAATTCACTATAGAAAATACTCAGAAAATTATCTGAGTTTTAGCTTAAAAAATTGTAACATCAAAGTTTTGCTATTTTTGATCATTACCAAAATATCCATCATAAAAGAGGTAGCCAGATAAATTAGGATTCATCCAATAATGAATTATTATGTAATCACTGAAAATTGTTTTCAAGGATTTATTAAACTTTTCTCAAAAATTTTTAATCACTAAAATTCTCACAACAAAATTGAAAAAGCAAAAACCCTAACTTCAAATACTGAATTAGTTTACCAATAATTGACAGACATGTCATTGAGCCAAAATTTAAAAATATGAATTTGATTTAAATTTTATTCCCTAAATTTTGAATGCTGATGTCATTATAGTTAATAGACATGCACACACATTATGTCTCATATACCCTCAAAACTAAATAAAATTAAGCCAATTGTTAACATAGTTATATCTGAGTGATAAAATACCACAGAATTTTTGTTTCTCTGCATTATAAAACCTAAGAATGAAAATATGTTCACCAGAAGTAGGTTTTTTTTCTGTTACTGTTCTGTTTTTGCTTTTGTTTTTTAGAAAGCAACCTTCTCAGGCTCCTTGAGTTTCTTGTTTTGGTTTGTTCACTATCAAAACTTACAGTATTTTGCAAAGCAAAGATGAGTACAAAAAATCAAAAGCTAATATTCTTTCAAATCTAAATGCTTACATGTTTCTGATTATTCAGATGAAATATATTTTATTTTAATTGTAGATCTCAGGAAGTAGAAGATAAAGACTACCAGGAAATAACATTGGAAGTAGTAACAATAGGAGTAGTAAAACCTAGGAGTTCCTAAGAGGATCACAAAGGATGTAATGGCTAAAGGGGCAAAGAGCACAGTTCTCAGGTACAGAAAGAATGGCCAAACTGTTTGTGGATTTTGGGGTGCTGCAGTCTCCCAGAGGTGTTTTCTAGTTTCTTTCTGTCCTTAAACAAAGCCACAAAAGTTACCAAGGTTTTAACACTTATTAAAGTTAGGAAAAGAAGCATACTTTGCCTAGCAAGTTTGAGCCAATTAAAACTAAAGAAAGAAGATCGTTGTACAGGGTAGGAACAGACCACCATTAAAGAGAGAACACAGTGGTCCTGAACTCAATGTCATTTTGTATCTTCTGTTCCTCAGGCTGATGTCAGGTCTAGGCTGCCCTATCAAAATCCTGCTCCAGCTCTTGTGAGAACTAAAGATGGAAATCTCTGATTCCTGCCACCTGCAGGGCTTTGGGAACTATTCTATGTATGTATCCTGTAGCTTTGTAATTAATAGGTCATTCCCACTTCCCCAGCCAGTTTGCCAAGCCCTAATCTCATGCCTCAAAACCAGCTGCCTATCATTTGGTCCATTATTCTAGTAACAGAATTTTAATGATGAACCTACCAAGTTTAGTAAATTAAAAACCAGTCGAAATAACTGAAGTCATACAGGAGGGCCAGGGATATAGCACAGTGCCTGTGATTCCCGGTACCAAAATTTTTTCTAAAAAATTAAAAAGTAAAATCATATAGGCCTGAAAATGGGGTTGTCCAATGTATTACTACACAGAGCCACTCTACAAAAAGCAGTAGATAAAGACTGTGATGCAAATATTGGAGGAAGAAGATCCCCTTCTTTGTGTTTAAGCACAGCTTTCTTGTAGATTAGTAGTACTCCTGTGGATAAAAGGTGAAGAACTAGAGACAGAAAAGTTTTTAGGCATAGGACCAAGGACAACAAGTACAGAGAAATACAAGATTCCATTTGTTTGTCTTTTAAAATAACTACTGAAGCATCATGAAGTAGTTATGGGGGGAAAGCCAGTAAATATTGAAGATATAAGAAAAGACAGGGTCTGAGGAGTTGTTCCCCAAAGTAGAGATAGGGAAATGACCTGCCTCATCCAGGAGTTCACTGAATTTTATCATAGAAAAAGAATTTTCAAGACAGGCCACTGAGAGGCATAAAGAAATCTATTAGGCAGAACTGAAAACTGATACTCAAGCTAAATATAATGTGGGTCCTCAAGAGAGAGGTGCTTCATAATCTGGCTTTGGGATATTTGTGTTTTTAGTGGTGGATATTTGTAGAATTTGTGACCTGATAGAAAGTTTGGGCTTGGTTTAATGAGAGAAAAGCAATTTGCCTCTCTCAGATAAAGGCTCATTTCACAGGTGAAAAGATGGCCCATTCTACTGGAGAAAGACATAGGCCCAATCTGTTGTTTTCTTTGTCTTTTAAGATGGTTGATCTAGCATGTTTTGTCTTTTAAGATGGTTGATCTAGCATGTTTTGCCTAAAAACATTATTTGAAACTTTTGAGTCTATTTCTCTATATTAAGGCTAGGTTTCTGCCTTAGCCTTTCAACCAAACTCCACTTACACTATCTCCAAGGGCTTTTTGGTGTGATAAATCTGGAAGAAAAGAACCAGCCCAAGAAGCTTAAACACCTTGAGTAACTGTGTCCTGAAATTTCAGTCTTCTGAAAAGTACAATTTTAAAATTATGGTTTTCCTGGTCTCTTTCCTACCTGTTTTTACTTTTGTCATAGGAAAGATGGGGAAACTTGATTAGGAAGACAAGGTTAGGGAGACATTTGGAAGAATTCAAGTTCAGAGGAATGCATGAGCCAGGCTTGGTGGCACACACCTGCAGTCCGGCACTCAAGAGGCTGAGGCAGGAGGATCACTAAAAGTTTGAGGCCAGCCTGGAATACATAGTGACTTCAAGGGCAGTCTG